TTACTTTGTTTGCTTGTGGAATTTGGTTGATAGATTTGACACCCAAATTCCAAGTATTATGAATTTGGGACAACTCTATTGTTTGCTAAAGGACATGAATTCATGGGTCCACGGATTTGGACCATTTTTTTAGATCCAATTCCGTGGCTCCAGTGACGTAGCCAGGATTCGAGTTTAGTGGGATCCCATTAAAAAAAATCTTATAACGTTGTATTCAATTATCAACTAAATTTTCTAAAAAAATATACAGTCAGGTAGTCATTTATCAAACCATTAGTTATTAGATTTGTACCTTACATTTTGTGTAACTTACATAATTGAAAATTTAGTTGATAATTGAAAAATGGCATTTTAATAACTAGCTAAGATAAATAGTTACCAAGCAAAATCTAATACATATAAACGTTTTTAAAAACACATTTGATGACAAAGAAATTGTATATTGATATGAGAAATTTGTTGAAGTAAGAGCTTTTTAGATATAGCTGGAGGTTTTTGTACACATATTTAGTAGAATTAGAAATTTTAGAATAAGGATTATAAAATTGTTGATTTTCAATGACATATGACCAATATAGTCTAATTTATTTGTGTTTCATAATACTAGGACAATTAAATTTCATATGAATGGAGTCTTAAATTCTAAATCTACCCAAATTAAACAATTATGTACATACATATAATCATTTTAATTTATCCAAGTAGGGTCCTAGGATACCACTCCCTTCAACCTCCCTCCGCCACTGCGTGGCCCCCATGAATTTGCGAATTCCACATTTCATTTAGGATTTGATCATGGAAGGCAAAGTTGTGAAACAAATCAATGAAAAATCCATGATAAAAATTAACCAAACAAACAATGAACTCTTCCAATTCATTAATGCAATAAATCCATCATAATTCCAAAGATTTTTAAAACTCAAAATCCTTATTTTCAAATCCAACAAGTAAACAAGCCCTAAGAAAATCGATAATCGAATTGATTTTTGTTGTTAACCAAACCGAAGTCCAACATCTGATCCCAAGGGGACCATTATGCATATCTAAAACATTATCATTGAATCAAACTTACATGGGTACTGTGTACTTACGAAAATACCATTGCACATGAATGTATGTTTGATACCAATCACACATAGACCTGTTCGATACAGTGACATATATCCAAATCAATAACTGCCACTTTAAATATCCTACTACGATTTGGTTATTATCAATAACTGCCACTTTAAATATCCTACTACGATTTGGTTATTGAGATTATTAAACATGACATGGTTTAGTAATTTGATAAAATTTTAAAAAAATTTCTTTGAATTTGATCGCATTGAATCACAAAGTCAAATCGCATTAAATCGAATTACTTTCTATTTAATCCATATCCCTACTGCTCCATTGCTAATTATTTCACTTTGTACCGAATTTGACTCGATTGACAACCAATCGGAACGGTTGCTAACCCGCAATAAAGCACTAGGAAGTAGGAACTAGGAAGTATATAAGGAAGAACTAGTCACGGACCCGGCCAGTTGGCCGAATTCAATCGCCAATCACATAAATAATATTATCTATTGGTTTTTTTACATTGTACACAACTAATTCATCGACTAAAATTCTTTTACGAAAATGAAAGAGAAATCTGGACCGACTTCTAAGGACATTTTAAAATTATTCTTCTATTTACTCCTCATCGTCAAAGATTGACATTTTCATTTTGACTTGTTTGCACTTCCTCCGACATGAGCAACATCATCATGTGCATCAATATTAATGTCTTCATCTCCATTAGTCATACATTTATCTACATTATTAATTTCGTCTTCTTTCTCTCTCTTGTATTTCAATGAAATCTTCCTTATTTTCCTACATTTTATTGAGCACAAATATTTGATGGTAAACTTTTTACAAATACCAATTATCTTTTTCATTGCAATATTATTTACATCTTTCAAATAAGAACAAGAGTAGTATTTACCTCATCCAAGTTATGAACAATATCCCAGATTTGTTCTTTCTATTAATAATTGGCACTTGTATCTTCCTTGTGGACAATGTATCTCTTCTGCTGAAGATAATTGTCACCTCTAGCACCAGATCTATTACATCCACTATTAACAGTCTCATTCTTGTTATGTTACATTAACATTATGAATTAAGATCATTGTCAAAAGCGCAATATATGGTGTGATTTTCTAGAATCATGTGTTTAAAACATATTAGAGTTAAAATTGTAGCTCGATACAATTGCTTGCATGTTAGTGTGAAAGAAAACGAAGTTCTACTGGAGGTTTATGTTATAAACGACATGCATTTGCCTATAGATTAAAGAATACAAATAAGTGTAATTTGTGCATGATTTAAAAAGTGAAGGCATGTATTTGTGCATGGTATACAAATTAAAAATGTATACACTTGATAATACATCAAGTATACAATTGTATGCATGCTAGGTGGGTAATGAAGGAAAGTTCCTATAAAGTTTTGAGTTATACAATTAAATACATTTGTCAAAGTTAAAGAATACAATTGAGTATCATCTTTGCATGATATAAAAATTGAAGAACTGTATACTTGATTCTATAACTAGGTATAATTTAAATCTGGTAGACCATTGATAGCAATTTATTTACTGGACAATAGACGCAATAAATTGCCTTGAAAAAATCAACATGTGAGAAGTAGACGTGGTAGGCAGATTTGTTAAATAATAATCAGAGGATGCATGTTCCAAATATACTCCAAATCAAATAAAGAATATCACAAATTTATAATTAATATTGATTATTATTTTCAGTATAATTTAACTCGATCATGTCAGGAAGATCGTGAGTTTTGCTCTTCTCATACTTCCCCATCATGGAAATCTTGTACTCACTTATTGCTTAGCAATGTCATATGTGAGCTTGCTATCGAACTTCAATATCACTCCCTCAGTTTGTAAGTGAAGAGAAACTGATAATCCTCTCATTATATCATTGTGTTGGAATTAGCTTTTGCATTGATTTGGTTGAAATTAGTTGTTGATGTGATGTCGAGCTTTTCACTGGAAGAGTTGGCCAATCTCACTCGCTTTTTTACAAAAAAAAAAATATGATAATTAATTCATTTTTCTATTTGAAACTTCAAACTTATAACGGGCAACCAAATACAGTGATGAAATTGTCATGAATTTCACCTTGCCCCAAAAATAATGATTCCGGAATTATTGGATTTTCCAATAGCAAAGTCGCTCCAAATGAGGAGAAGGTTTTCTCGCTTGCAAATTTGTTGATCGTTTAATTAAATGTCATATTTATTTGCAAATGGTTTGGTTAATAATGACAAAGTAATAAAGATGTTTCCTTACTGTTGTATGAAACAACATGTAATGATGTAATGACCAGGATGAGAGGGCAGTTACCCACATTTGCAAGGATGGCATTTAATTGGGTAACTATAGTACCAAAGAGAATTATCTTGAGAACCAATCCCTAACACCCTTTTGAGATTAGTTTTAAAGTAATGCATGCTATTTTAAAACTGAAAAAGGAATCAAATACTTGAGAAGTTTTAGTCGGAGCCTCCTCGCATGTAATTTTTCCAGTGGGTGTTAGATGTCAATAAACCCGAATACTGAAGCTAACCAACAACATTCGTGGACTGAAAATTGTAAAAAGTTTATCAATGTTTTTGCCTGTATACACATTAGATTGAAGTAAACTTGAATTGAGAACAGTAATCCGAACCTGAAAGAAATTTACTTTGGTTGCACTTCTTGTTAAATGAAATTAAATTTGCAAGCTGGTATGGTTGAAATATCACCGCATGCTTCAGCTTCTATATTTGATTCAAACTTGATGATCAATTTGTTTAGAATTGGCCTATAACCTCTCGTTGTCATACTGACATAAAGTCTTGATAGTGCGTAAACTCTCTAGTCATGTAACAGGGGGTGAAAGTCCTTGATTTTCCCTTTGAGAATTTGCACCCAAATATCATTATTTTGAAAAAAAGTAGGACTACTAAAATAAAAAATAAAAAAATCAAATCATAGAGTTGAATTCGCATGATTATTGTTAGTTTACACTTTAAGTCGATAACTATCATACTTGGCCAAAGAATAATATGTGTTGGATTGATTGGCAGCCACTTTTTCGAAACCATCTGTTAAAGAATCCAACTCCTCTTTTAAGTTGCGAGATTAGATATCAACTTGGATTTCATAGTGACTAATTTTCAATTATAACAACAGTGAAACAATTTTTCTTTTTTGTTTTGGATATCAGATTAACTCACTAAATGTGTAATAATTCTAAATCTTGATTCTTTTAGTGTGTGATTAAAGAAACATAGATTAACTTTTTCTAAAATAAGAATCTTGGCATATATAACCATGTTTGTTATATTGTTAGTTAAATTAAGGATAAATAAAATTTATGGGTAATATCTATATTTTATGCTAACGATTTTTTATGTTATCCAAATCTATTAAAATTGCTATTAATTAGGCAAATCTTTCGTAATGCGTCAAAACATTAGTCATTTGTATGTTATCGTTAATAATTTTGTAACTCTTTTTTGAGTTAAAATACTAAAATTTTGGAATATTGACCTTCATGTGTCTCTTCCAAGTCAGTATCATGTTGCCAAGTCATATTACTAACAAAATTGCTAATTGGAAGTTAACATTTGATTTATTTTTAGTATTTTAATAGGTTTGGATAATATAAAAAAATCTGTAAAATGTTTGGATAAAAAATAGACACTACCCAAAATTTATCAGCCAAACCTTTCAAACCTTTAAAATTGGCTAAATTGCAAGTTTGGTCACTCGAATTGCTACAAAATTTCACGTTTGGTCACTCAAATTGGTTTATTCCATTCGTAGTCACTTAAATTAGTTGAACAGTCCAAGTTCGGTCACTCTCTGTTAACCTCCGTCAGACTCCATTAGTGTCGTTAGTTTACTGCTAACGTGGCTAACAGAGATGCCTAGTCACCCAATTTAAACAAAAAAAAAAAATCCATCTGTCACTTTATTAGAACCCAGACACATAAGATACCCGAACCGAATCGAACTCGTGACCCATCCACCCTTCTTCTTCTTCCTCTATACCCTGCTTCCACCGCCGCCGGGGGGATTTCCCCTCGATCTGCTTGTTGTAGCCCCTGCCGCCGGATCCACATTCGCGACCGATTCCTTGCCCGAGGCTTCGTCACCCACAAACCTGACCCTTACTTTCACGGGTTGCCCCGCGAACCCGATGTGTCCACCCATCAATTTGAACACCAGGTAGGCTGCGTACGTGGTTCCCAGCGATAGCCTCCGGGTCTTGATCTTGGCCCGTATTTCCAACCACCACACGATTTCAAGCGCCGCCACTTCCCCTCCGGCGAACCTTGCATTCGCGACCATCTCCCACCACCAGTACGCGCGAGTGTCGCCCCATATGATCTCCAGATCCCTGGCTCCCACCATCATCGATATCTCCCCCCTCCCTGCCTCCACCGCCCAACTCTGCAATAACAGACATATTAAACCGGCGAACCAACCAACCAATAAATTGAAATTGAATTGCCCTAAAAAAACAACCTTGATATGGATTGAAAGACTAATTGATAGAGATTAATAATTGACGAGGGAGGTTAGGGTAATCGGGTATCTAACCTTTTTGCCTTGGTCGAGCGGAATTGGCTGCTGGCAGAGTCGACGAAAGAGGTGCTTCTTGGAGACGGAAGTCGAGAGAAGAGATGGATCTTGCCGAAGTCGTCTTCCTTGTTGGAGTCGTGTTGAGAGAAGATGAGGGAGGGAGATGGAGGAAACAGAGCCATGGCGGAAGAGAGAGAGAGAGAGAGAGATGCGGAAGGCAGAGGATAAGCAGAAGGCAGAGGAGGTAGATTTTTCTCGGTGGGTTAATGGTTTTTTTAGGTTGGGTGGGTTGGGTTTATATGAGGTGGCAGGTTTTTCTGACGTGGCGGGTCAATTTTTGTTTTTCTTGGGTTAAAATTGGGTGATTAGGCATCTCTGTTAGCCACATCAGCAGTTAACTGACGACACTAACGGAGTCCGACGGAGGTTAATGGATGGTGACCGAACTTGGACTGTTCAACTAATTTAGGTGACTACGAATGGAATAAACTAATTCGAGTGATCATACGTGAAATTTTGTAACAATTCGAGTGACCAAACTTGCAATTTAGCCTTTTCAAATTATTAGTCAAACTTTCAAAACACAAAATACTAGTCAAATTTTAACTTACTGTTAACAGTTTTGTTAGTAATAATTGACTTGACAACATGATATTGACAAAGAGACATGTGGCGGTCAACATTCCAAAATTTTAGTATTTTGACTAAGAAAAGATTTACAAAATTACAAACAATAACTAACAAATGGCTAATATTGTGATGCGTTACGAAAAATTGGTTAATATTTTATATTTTTATAGGTTTGACTAATAATTTGAAAATTTTGAAAGGTTTGGCTAAAAAATTTTATTTACCCTAGAACTAAATTAAATATAAAAGCAAAGATTGAAGAATTGTAGCACATAAATACAATTTAATCCTCCCGCAACCATGAATATACGCGAACTTAAAATATTAATTTCTACTACCAATACATAAAAATATATTAGTACGCAGTGGCATAGTCAGGATTTTGTCGAGGGTGAGTCCATTTAGAAAAAAGTAAATACAATAAAATATTTTTAAATCATTCATGATATATTGTTTTATTTAATAAATATATGTTGAAACTATCAAGAATATCACTCTATATGTATCAAAAAATTATTTAAAATTTAGATATACATTTTCTTTTGAGTGGTGTTCTTTGTCAAGACTGTTTAGTATCAATAACTCGAGTTGTTGGCATAGTTAGTAAAATACGATCTCTTAGCTAATGTTACGTTTAATAGTCATAAATATATAAAATTAATTATTTTTATAAATTAATGAATATGTATAAAATAGTAAAGTTAATAATTTATTTCATTAAATACGGATATTAAACGTGTTATACGGGTTTAATACATGTTTAGTACGGGAGCCGTCAAATGAACGGAAACTAATGAAACGGCTTGACAATAATACGGATACATAAGTTTTAAACGGATAAAGTACGTACGGGTAAATATACGTGTATTAAACAGAATATTTACTAACTATGGTTGTTGGTAAAGTTTTAATAATGAATTTTATAGCATTTAGTATTTACTAACACTTACCTGTTAACCAAAACCAACTTATACATGCTTAAAGTTTTCGGAAATTCAAATATCATGTGCTTAACAAATTGGAGCACCAAGATTCGAACACATGATCTCTCGGTCAACAATTCTCAATTAGAAGTGCACTAAATTTCATTCTCAATTAACTATTATACTAATTTACTCATTTTCGTCCTATGGAGCCACCCATTACACTCTCTGCCCTGATTGAAATAAAAATATTTTACAAATTAGCTATGATTTTGTCAAAATTTGTTGTAGATATTGAATAAGTACATCTTTAATTTTGAGCGGATCATATGCACCATTTTCGTTTCTATATAGCTCGCTATAAAAACATTAAATATGCAAAGACACAACGTATAAATCATATATCAAATATTTGAAAGATCAACAATTCTCATTAAAACATGTTATTTTTCATATCAATTAACTATTATATATAATTTTTCATATTATTTCCTAGGACTCACCCTCTAACCCTCTCCCTCCGCCCTTGTTAGTACGGAGGCAATTGCAACTCGATTTTGAGTAGGAAAAAGAAACTAAATTTAGTAAGACATCAACAACATTTGAATAAGGACTTGCTAGCAAAATTAAAAGAAGAACGACAATGGCAGTCATCATAGAATACATGCACTAATTCATAAGCTAACAGATAATCAATCGGGAAAGGATGGATGTGTTGGGTGGGAGTAGCAGGATGTCTCTAATCCATGGATTATATAGTAGTCGGGTGAGAGTTAGTTGTTGTGTATGATTATGTATCCCACCTTATTAGCTCTATTGTCCGTAGCAATTGTTGCTACTTAATTGCAAAGCTACGATAGGGTGTAGCAGGAATAAAATTGCAAGGTAATACCGTTTTTGGTATTTCCATTCAATTCAACCACTATTTGTGTGTCGTATGTATATTGAAAAGAACTGATAAGTTAAGCATGGGATTTATAATTTTGTATGGGTAGTGATAAATTCACATATGAATTAATGTATTATAGATGTCTTGTATATTATAGCGCATGAACGATTCTATCAATAGTTAACCAACAGTTCTATATTAGTTAACCGTTCAAATATGAATCACTAATTTTTCTGGTTTGACCATCCGATCCGGTTATGAAAAAGGTGGGTTTCTTGCAACCTGCCCAAGTGTCTCATTTAATATAAATGAACTAAATTGCATGGACATGGTGAATGATAGCCCATATACTGAATAATTATTAGTTAGTCATTGGTTAGTTAAAAGAAGCTGGAAATAATTACCCAAACCCATATAAATTAAAACCATTCTGTCATCTAACTAAGTGATTAGACCATAATAATTAATAATGAAATGACCAAAGACCCTTCCTTGGTATGCGCTGGAGCCAGAAAAGGTAAAATTAAGGGGTTCCTAGAGGAGAACCTCCATAATATATTGTTGTCCTCCAACGAAGTGATTAGACCATAATAATTAATAATGAAATAATGAAATGACCAAATTTCCTCTTTTAGGCAAGCCCTCAGGGTTCAACATAGCGCGTACTAACACCGTTGCATTACTCCATGGTTAAAAATGACACGTTTACCTTTCACTTAGTCATGTTTAGGCGCAAGGCAATGGCACAACGCCTCGCCTAGAGGTTTCACGCCTATTTAGATACTGGAACACGTTAATGAAGTAATGTGACATATAAGTCTCTCATAACCATTACTAGATGGAGCTAGAAAGTCAATATTAAGGAGAAAATTAACATTAACTACGAAATCAAATTTCTATATCAATATTTTCAATATCTCAAGAACTTTGTGAGCTATTGAGCTATGATTCTATGAATTCGTGAGCTATGTTCTTTTCATTAAGTGTTGAGTAAGTTATTAATCATTTTAATTGAAGCGAGGAAGTGTTGTAGATTATTATTTCATTCATCATGTAGTGCACATAGCTATTTTTCTTCCAACGCCTAAGCACGTTTGGTTTACGCCCAGGCAAGCTAGGCGCTAGGCAAAACCTCAACGCCCATCTTACGTCTTTTTAAACCTTGCATTACTCAACGTTGACATTAATCGTATCATCACGATCTAATGAAAATGTTTGCGAGGTTACATTTAGAAGCAACTTACTACGAAAAACAGAATGTCTTGCACTCTCAGCAGCTATGGAGTAAAAATTGCATTGCTTACTAAGGAATCCAAGGTAAAGAACTGAAAAGAAGACAAATAAATGCACTACCTTGGTGGCTTGGTATTCAAGAATCATTACTGTATGGTTGGTACCTGACTCCAAAAATGTGTTGCAATCGATAGCTACAACCTGACAGAGACGCAAATAAGGACAAGCCTTCCTTGAGTTATATCAAATGAAGACACATAAATTTCACTTGTAATCCAATCCAATTATAAGAGAATATAACAAGGGATTCATTCCAGTTTCAGCAATTTACACTACAAAACTGAATGCTGGTGGTGACTTCAATGCCACTCAACCCACACTATGGCCTCTTTTTTCCTTCCCTTTTTTACAGTGTTTCAGCATTTGCAACAGAGTTCTGTTCATTAGACTAACAAATAGCAGGAAGATGAGATGAACGAAAAGACCATTAATGAATTTCAATAGGAAGATGGAAAAAATATGAAAAGGCAAATAAATAATAACTGTGTAAGCTATAGCTTAATTAAGCCCATGGATCGTCCCAGCCTTTGGGGCCTTCTCCATTGATGAAATCCATGACTGCCTTCACAACCTCATCAACTCGATTCGAGAGGGAGTGATTCCCATGCTCGATTTCAACTTTCTCTGCCCCTCCCATTACTCTGCACAGCCTGTTCTCCTCCACACCCCCGCAATGGGAAAAATAAGATCTTTGTCTCGTGGAATCAAAGGGGTATTACATGTATGCACACATTCATAACAAGAACTTCAAGTGTCTCACCTTTCTACCAAGGCTTTTTTGTCAACATATTCTGGCACATATTCGTCGCCCATCGAAAAGATAACCTGCTTATTATCAACCGAACACACTGAATTACTGTCATTGAACAAAAAACATCTATAGAAAGTTTCTACCGCTAATTCCTTGTTCTGCATTCCATCAACCATATCTATCTTGGTCAAACAGGCAAAAGGGAACATCTTGAGATTTATATTCCGTACCTGGCAAGGTGTATTGCACATGTGCCCAAGCCTCAATCTTAGTTGATCGTCAGTCAGATCAGAACTAAACATGTCGTCATCGCCCATATAAGAACAAAGGGAGTGATACCTGCAAAGTGGTAATAGTAATTGAAGTTTCTGATATAGCAACTCCTAAATGTATAAAATAATTTGAACAGCCTAGGATATACATGAAGGGTATGTTTGTGTTTAGCTAAGAACTAAGTAACTTAAATTAAAAACTTGAATTTTTTTTTTGAGAGAAAAATAAAAACTAGAATTAAAACACTTAATTTCCATGTAACTTTTTGGAATAACTATTTGCTTCTAACAAAAAAAAAAAAAAAAACTATTTGCATTAAATCTCCTAACTTCAAAAGCTAAAGCCATATCGCTAACAAAATTTAATCCTGAACCTTGTCGCTTTGAAATAAGAATCTATAATTTTTTAGATTATATCCATGACAGGATGCTTTATTATTGAACAATTTATCTACCATTTCATCAATTATGTTTAATTTTTCTTAAACACATAACACAGTTCTTCATATCTGGTATAACTTAAAAAAAATTACTCCTTTTGTTTTTGTTTTAAGCTACCCCAAAGAGCATAAAGTAAACTCTACGCCTACGGTATCAGAAATAGATGAAGACATCATAGCCAGGGCCAGATTCATAGGGCTACCTGTAAGCAGTTATTGGAGCACAGGGATCAGCTTCTCTGGGCATTAGTTCTGAACCCTTGCCTTCTGCTATCATAGATGAAGCCAAATCAATCATGGCAGCTGTTTCTGGTAGAGTTGCTTTGTACTCCCGATCACTAACTGGAGCCTGAAAAAGAGCTAGGATAGTAAGTAAAAGCTTGCAAATGGAGCACATTTGTACTCTGTTCAAGGAAGAGATGCATCAGCACTTGAGCTAGTTAAGAAATGAAAAGCATGCTGGATTGTTGAATATCAATTGGAAGAGTCATTTAAGTGGTTCACTAAAGAGTGTAGTATCAAGATAGAACACTACCTACAGCCTGCTTTAGTGTTTCAGCATGATTTGTGTACAAAGTTTTAAACTTACGCACATCTTAACAAAACTCGATGACTTACCTGCAAAATGGCACCACGTACTGCTCTGCAGCATGCAGCATTGGAACGCAAATAATGCACAATATCCTAAATCATGTAAAACAAAGACCGAAGATTTGTTGCATCAAAGAAACACATAAATATGTAGAGAAAAGAAGCTTCGAATGCACCCTACAAGTCTGAAATCACCAAATACCTGACAACCAGTACTGTGCCCAAGAAGAATCACCCCCTCGGAGTCTTCTTTGTTGATGAAATAACTTATCAACTGATCTAGCTCTGTGGCATCCTTGATTATACAATGACCAAGCAGTGAGATATAAAATAAAAATAAAACACACAGAAAAATAACATAGAAAAAGGGGGAAATCAGGGGTTCAGTGGCAAACACATGAATCAGGACATCATGAGTAATACACAAATAGAAGAATGCTTACTTGCTTCAAGCTGGAAGTGCCAAATCCACTATAAGACGATGACATGAGGAACTGAACAAGTGACCATTTCTCCTTATCCAGGGCAATTGCAAGAGGTTCCAAATATCTAAAGCCCAAAATGAGATGAAGAAAGTGATGTCAGTGACTAGAAAGTCCCATCATTCTGTCCTCAATATGTGCAACTCAACTATCCACAATCAATCAATGGCAATTCATCTCCTTTTTTTTCAAAGATTCGGCAGAGTGGAGACGTAATACAACGAAATGAATTAACACTGCCAATACATACTCAGTTGCAAGAAAACCGTCAGTCAAGCCACCAATGAAAATGACTTGTTGTTTATGTTCTCCCGTTTTGAATGCGACCTGCACAAACCAAACAACAAAGTCATTCAAGCATCACAGATTCACAGTGGATGTATCCAGAACAGTCGTTTTCAGGGTATCCCTACATTAAAGCGAACAATGTCAAGCAAGAAGAAGAAAGAATCTAGAGTAGTTTTCATTGTTCACTACAAGAAGAGAAATGGCAGAAAGACGAAAACTTCAAGAAGCTACGAGTTCAGACTCCTTAGGTGATGTGCCTGAACTGCTCTAATTGGCAATAAAATAGCTAGGGTTGCTGGAAATTGAAAGGAATTGGGAAATTTAGGGTTTTTGGTAGGTTAGATGGAGGAAGAACCGCCACACCAGTCAGTGATAAAGTTCGGGGCAAGGCGCCACAACCAGGGGTTGATAAGCCTATGAAATCACAAGGAAATATTTCTTGCAACTCTTGAAAACTCTTATTGAAATCTGAATACTGAATTTAATAAAACTGAACTACAAGCCTTCTACTTATAGAGAGGCTAACCCAACAGAAAGACTTCCTTCTACACATAGGAAACTGAAAAGTAATAACTCTACTACTAGGAAACAAATAAAAAGACTCCTAACTCAACATGGACAACAATTAAACATCTCCTTCAATTCCTTGTTAGATAGGATAGTTGTAAGAAATCCTCAATTCTCCATTAACCCGTAGCTCTTGTTTGTAGACCCATTTTCACCCATCTTGAATGCTCCTAAACTCTCTTTAAACCTCCTAATTTGTCTATTGACCCATGGTCCATGTAGAGATATAATTTGGAATCGAATTAGGTCATGTAGCGTTCGTATAATCCCATCATTCTCTCCCTCTTGGAAAAGATTTGCCCTCAAATCTTCTTGTGACATAGAAATGTGTTCCCATGACTCTATCATTTCCCAACATGAGTGTACTCCTTGAATATTAAGTTTAACCACAAACTCTTGAAGTCTTCGTCTTTCCCTACTACGAATTTCCTTGTACGACACTTCATCTCCAATAACAAATTCCATGTGTTCACTAATCACATCATGATCACCCATTTGAGTTGAGTTGAAATCGTAGCATAATCGCCTATCTTTAATGACCAAATCTACTCCAATAGTTGATGACTTGTCTTGGACTCCTCCTGGCAAGAATATAGCGCAACCCAACAAGTCATTCTTTTCCTCTTCATTAGAGCAGCTGAAATGCACTTCTCTTTTCCCAACTTCTTTTTCGTCAACTCGGAGCACATTTTCCTTTATCTCTATATCTTCATTGTAATACACAGGCTTGGGTAGAATCCCATCTTCGGTGGTCAACTCAACATGATTTGTAGAATCTTAAATAAGTGGCAACTCTTCTGGAACATCCATTAAACTTACCTTGTCAAAAGCCATTATCATTTTGGTGATAGGCAACGACTTCCCTTCTATCTCAAGTTCTGGTTCTTCTTTTGAAGGCATTAAAGCTTGAGCATCCTCTTCACAAGTAGCAAGTTCAACATCAAGAACCTTTTCTTCAAATTCTGGTTGAGAAAAAGGCAAAGAAACTTCATTCGAAGGTATATGTTTGTCGACTTTGACACTCCTTTTGTCAGTCTCACCACGAATTGAGCTTGAAGAAGCATCAGTCTGATCAATATCAATGAATCTTGCCTTCTTAATCTCTTGCTCTTCATTCTGAAATTTGCAATATGGATCTTGCTTGTAATAGTTTGGGACAAATCTATCATTCATCAACGTCTTCATTGTTTTCCAATCCTCTATAGGGTGCCTTGTTTGAGCTTTAGTTTTCCGCCACCATAAGCTAGCATAACCAGACAGTTTAGCTGCAACGAAACTAACCTTGACGAATTCGTGATAGTCTTGCAACTCAAAAGCAGAATCAACTTTGTCCACCCAATCCAAAAATTCTTCAGGATCACTCTTTCCGAAAAATGGAGGGATATTAATTTTGATATCTCCATGAGTAGCTCTCCTTTGGTCTCGTTCTTCATCTTCGTTGTTAATTCGAGCACCTCGAATAGCCCTCCTAGGTTGACTCCTGCCTCTATCAAGTTGTTGGTTTTGTACCAATTGTTGAACAGTTGTAGTAAGCTGAAGCAGAGATTCTTGAAGAGATTGCAAGGTTGGCTCCACCTTTATTTCAACACTCATCCTTCCTTCTCTTAAAGGGAATGTTACTCTAAAAAAAATAGGGTTTTTTTGGGGTTTTTTTTGACGAAAATCAACTAAAAATCTAACAAAAATCAGAGCTCTAATACCAAACTGATGTGCCTAAACTGCTCTAATTGACAATAAAATAGCTAGGGTTGCTGGAAATTGAAAGGAATTGGGAAATTTAGGGTTTTTGGTAGGTTAGATGGAGGAAGAACCGCCACACCAGTCAGTGATAAAGTTTGGGGCAAGGCGCCACAACCAGAGGTTGATAAGCCTAAGAAATCACAAGGAAATATTTCTTGCAACTCTTGAAAACTCTTATTGAAATCTGAATACTGAATTTAATAAAACTGAACTACAAGCCTTCTATTTATAGAGAGGTTAACCCAACAGAAAGACTTCCTTCTACACCTAGGAAACTGAAAAGTAATAACTCTACTACTAGGAAACAATAAAAAGACTCCTAACTCAACAAGGACAACAATTAAACATCTCCTTCAATTCCTTGTTAGATATGATAGTTGTAAGAAATCCTCAATTCTCCATTAACCCGTAGGTCTTGTTTGTAGACCCATTTTCACCCATCTTGAATGCTCCTAAACTCTCTTTAAACCTCCTAATTTGTCTATTGACCCATGGTCCATGTAGAGATATAATTTGGAATCGAATTAGGTCATGTAGGGTTCGTATAATCCCATCATTAGGGGCAAAAGCTCTCATCCTCCAGGAAAGCATATCACCATGAACAACAATTTCAGAACAATTAATCCATATTATGAGGAGGCTAAGCCTCTGGAAACTCAATCTGGTCACTGGCACCAACTAGAACTTATCACAAACAATGAATTGATTGCACATAATCCTTCTTCATCTAACATCAGATCCATGCTAATTAAGCTAATGGTGAAATCTGTTCTAACTACCTACTCGCCGGACCCTAAATTCGGCCATTGAAGATGGATTTGACAATTCAACAGCACCATGACGGGCTTGAAAAATATCAACGTATCGGTTTTCCAGCAATTACCTGAATAGGCTGGGGGCCATACTTGAACAGCAAACCGCGAAACTGGTTCTTGCCTTTGATCGGTCCAGCATTCTCGGCAGCGGGCAAATTACCGGCCATTTTCATGCTCCCGGACCTATCAGCACGCCCGCGAACAATGCCGGAGAACCATGAGGTTCCTCCGCCGCCGCCGGCGGAAGACGAGGACGGGGACGAGGTAGGCGACAGAGAAGAGGAAGAAGATAATGAGAGATTCATGTCCAAACTCAAATCAAATCCGACAACCCCCGCGCTCTATCACTACAGCAATCATTGCATCCGTCCGCCGCTGCGTGAAGGAGAAAACGACCAAGGATCTGCTCGCTGCGGTGGCTGGTGGTCGTCGTCCGGCCTTTCCTTTCTTTGTCCCTCGCCGTTCCCAAATGGAGAAGATGATAGCTATGAGTTAGTCCAGTCCACGCTTCCGTTTCTTTCAGAAAGTTCTTCAATCTATTGATTTCTCGCTCCAGTGCGTGAGCCCCTCGCTGCACTGCAACTCTGCAAGTGAACCCATTGATTTGGGCTTGGGCCACTGTGCAGTTTTCCGCAGGTTTTGAATGCCATGGATTGGGATGGGATTAGGTGCTAATCCTTATAGGGGTTAGCACCGTGATAACTAGAAAAAACACTACTAAAAATAATGAAATCACTACGAATTATTATAAAATCAATACAACATCTAAGCTACATCACTACTAATTCAAACTAGTAGTAGTTTTGGTTAGGACGGTGCTAACTATTGTACAATTAGCACCGTAACTCCTCCCCTATGGATTGGGCCTCCATACAGGGGAGGGTATCGCGTCAGATGGGCTCTAACCCGATTTTTGTAGATGAGAACATTCACGGCAATTCTGCAGTGCCGTTAGAATTTTCTGCCCGTTCAAATAAATTGGTTGGGTTTGTGATCAATGGGTGGGTATGGTTTAACTAATAAATTAATAAAATCAGAAAAAAGTTAAAAACAAAATAATAATAAAAAAGAGGCAAGCAATGGGTCTCTTTCGCTTCCACTCTTTTATTCTTTTCTCCGAACTTTCGTAGTGAAGTTCCTCCGTCAAAGTCTCACCAGCATGCAATCCACCACTATCATCGATGCTGTCGTCGGTCGACCATCACCACCAATATCTCGAACCTCTCATAATTTAAAATAACTACCTTCATCCGCCCTCATGTTGCCTCCTGGTAATCGCCAATAACATCTCCGCCGCAAAAATCCACCCCCACTGTTGCCGTCGTCGTCGACCTGTCACCACCCAGATCCCAAACCCAGTCAGTCGAAATCATCATAGTCATCAGCCCTCTGGCACCATCCGGTCATCTACAAAGAATTATTGGGTTTTTCATTTTTTTAGGTTTGATTGAGTTTTCGTTGAATAAGAAAAATAATAATTATATTAAAAAACATAGAATTAATAGCAGGTTCAACCAAATATAAAGGGTTCAACCATTTTGGTAAGTAGTGATTATTAATCAACGGTCCTTATTAATATGCAACCAATCCAATGGCCAAGAAACAGCCGGCATTAGTGCCGTGACGGTACTATAGAATCCGCCGAACATTCATCCTGCTCAATGGTTGTGGCCTCATGTTTCAGAGGTTTGGCTTCGTGCAATGATTGTATAGTGGAAGAAACTAGAGTGCTAATTTAATAGGGGTTAGCACTATATTAACTTCTTTAATCACTATTCATTAATTTTAATTGAATCTGAAGGTGATATATAGTGGAGGTTATATTAAGTATTTTAAAATTTAAATTAATTAAAATTTTAAAATATATGTTTTGTCTCCGTCAAAAAATAGCTTGTGAAAAAGTACTAGTTAAATTGGTAGTGGTTTTGATGGATTTAGTAGCTGTTTTAAATATTTTGTAATGATTTAATCATTATTAGTAGTGTTGTAAAATAGCAAGGAAGAGCAATAGACATAAGAGTAAGAGTAGAGACACAAGAAGAGTGGGGGAATAGAGCTTTGTTATTCATGTATTCCTTAGTACAAGGAGATCATCTCTTTATAGGCACACATCACATAACCTCTACATTCTTACAATCAATATACATGAATGTGAGAATGAATGTGAAATAGAAATGGGGTGGGGGTTACATGTAACAACCAATTGTGCATCTAATGTGTCATATGAAGAAATAAATATAAGGAGATGAGTTACATAGAATTTGTAACATACCATGGAGCATCTAATGTTGGTCATCCATAATGATAATAATATTTTCATAACACTCCCCCTTGGATGACCATTAGACATGAATATGCCTCGTTAAAACCTTACTAGGAAAAACCCTGTGGGATAAAATCCTAGTGAAGGAAAAAGAGTACATAATCATCATAATACGCTATTTGAATCTGCCTCGTTAAAAACCTTACCAGGAAAACCCAGTGGGAAAAACCATGGTTAAGGAAAAAAGAGTGCAGTGCGTATATGCTCCCCCTCATGACAACATCAATAGTATTGTGAACAAATCTTTCAAATATTGTCATGGTAAGCTTCTTAGTGAACAAATCTTCTAGATTGTCACTTTATGCATGATCCATTAGGACCATTTTCTTCATACATGATCTTCAAGATCATTTTCTATGAATATAATCCGCAACCAAAAGTCATTTAGACGTCTTGAATCACAAATCTTAACCAAACAATTCATAACAAGTCTCATGAATTGTTGACCATTGTTCATGATCAAATGATGTTGTTATTGTGATTTCTTTGAAATCTCCATGAGATACTTGTACGACCATGAGTAAACAAATTACTCATCTATGATCCTCATCGTTACCAATAGGTAACAAAGTATAACTTAATGAAGTATAGCAATATACATTTTTGCTCTAACGACATTGGCATATGGTACTTCAGGACCTAATAACTCGCTTCTATCTCAAGGCCTAAATTGATCTTTGTTCACTTCTAGTGACCTTATGATCATTTGGCTATTGAACGTATGCAATTTTTCCATACAAAATTGTTCTTTCACTTTTCCGACATTGTCGTCTTGATCCAAAAAGAATCTTCTTAAATCCTCCATGTTCAATTTTCTTTCTTTAAGCAAACCATGCTTTATGAAGCTCTTCTGGAGTTCATATCAACTAAAACATATGAGATCATTATAAAATAATGTCTCGACTCTTTTCTTCCAAATAACTATAAAACTTAGCTAACACAATTGTACGCAAACAATTACTTCATAACACAAGGTCACAAGCAAAAGGCACGTCATACACACAACATCACTTAACCAAACCACATTCATAAATCAAACACATAACTAAAACCACAATATCACGCACATAAGCATATATGTCATTACACAATCACACATGCAAAATGCAAATGCTCTAATGCACTTTATTCGAATTTAATCACGCAATGCTTATACGACCACTTCCTTTAGTAGATATTCACTTAGATGAATATACCATATTCATCCATTTTATCTCAATCCATACAAGGAATTGCTTTATCGATCGATATTGTTCTCGAGAACGTCACATGTTTGCTTCTGGCAAAACTAATCCTTCAGGGATTTTCTTATAAATATCATTATCAAGGGATCCATACAAATAGGCTATCACAATATCTACCAAATGCAAATTTCATGCTTTTTGAACTGCCAAACTAGTTAACTTGCACAACATAGTTGCATCCACCACAAGAGAGTATGTCTCTTCATAATTGATGTCAGGTTTCTACCAGAAACCTCTCATGAGAAATTGTATTATATCTCTCGCAATTTCCATACGCATTTGCACAAAAGCTATTTGTATCCCGTTACTTCAGGTGTAAGGACTTCTGGTCCAAAACTTATACCAAATAAGTCTAATGCTTTCTTTTATATTGGCCAATATATATTCCTTTGCATGCATCAATAGACTTTTACTTTTGATCCTCTTTGTATCTATCATGTTCAGTGCTGCAGCATAATCAAAACCCTTGTCGACAATAAATAGACTTTGGTTCCAACTTTTTTCATACAAGCCAAGTAATTGAGATCTCTTCATTTTAAAACTTTCAGGTACCTACTATTCTTCTGGAACTATGATCTCAATTATATGACTTGACTCTTCTAGAGCTATTTTATCCTCGAGTTTACCATCTTAATTTATAGCTCCTTCCTTTCTCGAGGATTTTTATACTTGGAACCGATTGGTCTACCACGCTTCATGCGCTCGTTTAGACTCATTAGATTGTCTAACATGGACATCAATTTGTATTGGAGCATTCACAATTGGGCATGTGACATAATCACCCTTTTAGTGAGTAAAAGACGTTTGGCAATCGATACGTTTTTTCTCTCCATGAATCACCATATGAACTTCAGGTTCATTGAGGATCAAAATGCGATAATGATGATTCCAACTCACATCTATGCCCAACTGTTTACTTTTCTCCCCCTTAACGTTCGAGAAGTAACTCATCAAAATGATGATATTAGCAAAAAGAGTCATGAACAAATCTCTCATTGCATTGGACACCATGTCCAACATAAGTTCTCATAACGTGTTGTGGTGGAGCAATTGGGATGTATTATGCACACCCAAATTTTCTAGCAGTTTAAATGTTTGGTCCCTGACCAAAACCATTTGTATGAAAAGGGGGAACTTATGATAACTTGTTGGCTTCATGCGAATTAATGATATCATAAGCCTCGATAAGAGATCGATAGACTTAGTTTGTTCTCATAAGAGAAGTTCTGTTTGATTGGATAATCATCAAAATATATCCATCATTCGGCAACTAATCTCGCAAACATCAGGTTGCGTTTAGATAACAGACATATATGACGATATAGTTGATGAATCAATCAAAATCATAAAATTCATATATGATTTGCACGTTGAGTGTATTTTTCTGCATACACTTTTATAAAATCTCAACAGATTCAATTATTTTCACGAGTATATTCTCCTCGAGACCATGTATCACATAATCAATCCTTTGATTGATGAATTCTCTGAACTCTCACTTAATTTCCATATGATATCTCAATCATTTTCGCATATGGATCCGGGATGGTATGACCGGACATGCCAAAATAAAAAGTTTATCCGATCTTGCAAACTTCTGGTTTACACTTTCATATGTACTAATATACATGTAGTACAAATTTCTCCAGTTAAGTATATGTTCTCTTATAACACATTTCTGATGCAATATCAATTATGATATTCTTTTCTGCGAATATCTTCATAATTCGGTAATGCATCTTGAACAGACAGTTTAGTTCATTCACGTCTCAAAACATTAGCTCTTCTGGAGCCTTCATATACTCTTGTATTACATGTTGGCCATGAGGCACCTTCTGATTCGGTGAACTATTGTAAGCTCATATACAAAGTGATAATAATATTTTCATACTATGGATATCACCAATATATTGATTAGTTACTTCAAGTAACAAAACACAATCTCTTCCGGAGCTTTTGCTTACTTTCATACTATATGATATAATACCAGTATTGACTTTTGCAAATATTCATTCTATACAAAAACATACAAAATAATAATAATAATAATAACAACAACAACATATATGTGTTTCATAACACATTTCGGCATACGAAGTTACAGTATATGATCATGGCTTTTGCTACATGAATTATCATCCTCATTATTTTATCTTTCACTTCCGGTGAAAAGATACATTTGCTGATTGTCATTATCCAAACACCAAATTATATTAATATAATGGTGGGTCTCGATCCATTCACTTTTAAGAATGGTTTGTTTCATTCGCTTCCAGGAATGAAACAACACCCTTTGGATCATATTATATAATATTTCTCATCACAAGTCCAATACATTTTTCACCTTTAACTAACAAGAAATTAACTTACACTTTGTAAAACCTATAAGATAATATTTCTACTGCAGGAGCACATATAGATTTTCATTTTTCTTTCAAATGATTCTTGGACCAATAAAAATTCTTTTCATACATTGGGTACAAGATCAATGATTTTTCCCCATCCCCATCGCAATGGTAACTCATATTCCAATATTTTAGTTACCAGATCCACTTCTTTCATTTGACACATTTTTTCTTCATTTTTTCCACTTCGGGGGAAAATGAGATCTTTAGACTTTCATTTCTCTATATGTCGAATGTAGCAATCGATAAGTCAACCCATAATGATTTTGCTACTACAGGAGCAATTTTCATTATCTGATAATGTCCAAGCACAAACTCCATGTTACAAGATCGACATATATAAAATAAGTTCATAAAATAATATGAACAAATAACATGATCAAATAATCTCTCAAAGACAATGAGATAGATAAATTTACTAACAAGAAACGACATGAAAAGTTGCATACCTTGATCGTGTTGTGATCTTACTCAAGTAAGTTTTGATTATGTAAAGAGACAATAACCAACCATGACTCTGGCAGAGCTTCGTGCTGATAACGTGTTGTAAAATAGCAAGGAAGAGCAATAGACATAAGAGTAAGAGTAGAGACACAAGAAGAGTGGGGGAATAGAGCTTTGTTATTCATGTATTCCTTAGTACAAGGAGATCATCTCTTTATAGGCACACATCACATAACCTCTACATTCTTACAATCAATATACATGAATGTGAGAATGAATGTGAAATAGAAATGGGGTGGGGGTTACATGTAACAACCAATTGTGCATCTAATGTGTCATATGAAGAAATAAATATAAGGAGATGAGTTACATAGAATTTGTAACATACCATGGAGCATCTAATGTTGGTCATCCATAATGATAATAATATTTTCATAACAAGTAGTGATTTATTTAGGGGTGGGCACGTGGGTGGTTAATCCGTGGGTAATTATCATAAATGGTCACAAACCTATTCACTTTGTACAAAACGGTCACAATTCTTTAATTTTGCACGTTTCGGTAATATAAGTTTGAGCAAATAACAAAGAGGTCAATCCGTCCAATTCCGTCCAAAAATCTGTTATTTTTTCCAGTCAACATGACACGTCATCAAATATATTAATAAAAAAATAATTTAATCATTCAAATTAAGGGACCAGTTACGGTAACAACACTCATTGTGTTGTTATTGTAACAACACTAGTTTCCAACCAATAGGAAGCTAGGATTGTGATGACTTTTTATTAGTTGAGTTGACCTAGTGTAAAATCAAAGCAGGGGTATAATTGCCATTATGAAAAATCTATTTAAATAATAAAAAAATAAATAAAATTTAAAAAAATATTTTTTTATTTTCTGCACAAAAAATCGGTCGCCGGAATTCGGTCATCGGTCGCCGGAAAATTGTCGCCGGTCACCGGAATATGCCTTTTTGTTGCCGGAATATGCTATTTTGTCATCGGAATATGCCACCGTCGCCGGAATATGCTCACCGTGGTCGGAATATGCTTACCGGCGTCGGAATCTAGTCATCGGGATCGGAATATGCCTATCGGCGCCGGAATCTACTCACTGACGGTCATCGGAGTTTGGTCAACGAACTTCGTTGATCGGTCAACGGTCTTCGTTGACCGGTCAACGGCCAACGACCACCGGATGTTATGGTCTGCATTGTGAGATTTATGGTTTGGTTTCTCATATTTTTGTAAGCCTTTTGTGGTTTGCTTTATCGTGTTTGTGGTTTGCATTAAGAAGTTTCTGGTTTGCTTTATCGTGTTTGTGGTTTGCATTGAGAAGTTTCTGGTTTGCTTTCAAAAACTTTGTGGTTTGCATTGTGAGGTTTTTGGTTTGTTTAAATATATTTGTGGTTTGCATTAGGACGTTTATGGTTTGCTTTTTTGTGGTTTGATTTACTGTGTTTGTGGTTTGCATTATGAGGTTTCTGGTGTGCTTTCGCAAATGTTGTGGTTTGCATTGTGGGGTTTCTGGTTTGTTTTAGGGGATTTGTGGTCTGAATTAGAAGGTTTATAGTTTGCATTAAGAAGTTTCTGGTGTGCTTTCGAAACTATTGTGGTTTGCTTTGCAAGGTTTCTGGTTTGTTTTAATATATTTGTAGTTTGCTTTGCGAGGTTTCTGGTTTTTTTAATAGATTTTTTGTTTGCATTAGGACAATTCTGGTTTGTTTTTGTGGTTTGCTTTATCGTGTTTGTGGTTTGCATTATGAGGTTTCTGATGTACTTTTGAAAATTCTGTGGTTTGCTTTGTGAGGTTTCTGGTTTGTTTTAGGGAATTTGCGGTCTGCATAAGAAGTTTTTTGGTATGTATTAGGAGGTTTCCGGTGTGCTTTAGAAATAAGTGTGGTTTGCTTCGTGGGGTTTCTGATATGTTTTAGGTGATAAGTGGCCTGTATTAGAAAGTTTCTGGCACGCTTTAGAAATAATTATGGTATGCTTTATGACATTTCTATTACGTTTCAAGAGATTTTTGGTTTGCATTAGACGATATTTGGCGTGCATTCTAATGAACTTGAGGATCGGAAATCATAAAAATATGGCCACTTTCAATTATTTCAATTTGATAAAGAGAGAAATAAGATTGATGCTCAAAAACACAATTGCATCTCAAAAGCTACATAGAACAGACTACAAAACAGCACTATCACTTCCCAAAACAGCACTATCAATTGCATCTCAAATTACCACCACCAGACCCTTCTTGGAACCCACCGCCACCACCAAAGCCAGTGATTTTGAGCTCACACCTCGAGTTGCTCAGAATCACTTCGTGGGTTATTGGGTTGAGGAACTCACTGCTGCCTATGGATCTCGGGCTGCAGCTCGGTGGCTTCTCCATGTGCCTCTTGCTTCCATGGATGACATCTTTCAGATTGGCTATTGACCTTGAACACCCGGACCTCCCACCACCAGCTTTTCTGGTCAAGATTGTGCTCAATTGCTTCCTGGATTTTGGGTCGTGCACATCTGCTGGCTCTGATTTGCAGTGCAGAGATTTCTTCAGTGAGAACCATACTGTTGCCATGCTTCTTTCTCCCACACCCCCAACCCACTTCCCTTCTTCTTTCTCACCCACTTGTAAAATGAACTTTGTGGTTGGATCTGGAATCTAACGAACGAATCGCTCCCTCCCGAACGGAAAAAAACGTTTCGAGCAAGAAGGCCAGGACAGGAACTCACTGAGAAGCAGGGAGATCGGGAACGGAGGCGAAGGCAGAGACCGGCGGCGGCGGCTTTGGGGATTCATAGTCTTGTGCCTTGGGAATTCGCTGCTGCTCATCTTCCGAGCTTTCCTCTGCGAGTGGACACAAGTTCGACGATGATGACTCCATGGAAAGATCTCCCGATCAATCGTAATAACCACCGGAGAGCAGTGTTGTAGAAATTCAAATCAATCGCCGGAGAAAATGCCCTGCTGTTGTGTTTAGTAGTTCCGCATGATAACTGCTTATTCTTTTCCCACCACCGCCGCTCTCGATTTCGATCCCTACCTTCGATGATTCTATGTTTCCTGCTTTGTCCCCGCGATTGAAAGCGCCAAATCTGGAGTTCTCGCGGCCGGGCAGCATGGGAGAGTCAGAGTTTGGGCGACGCCGTTGGAACGCATGTTCCCTTCGGCGAACTCGTCATGCCGCCGTCGACAGTGGTGGTCGTGAAGCTCTGCTGCTGCAGACTGGTTTGAATCGGCTTCGGCGCCGGAAGAAAGAGGAAGCGAAGGGATAAAGAAGACAGAGATCTGATAGGGTTTGGGGTCTTTGTTTATTTTATTTTAATTTCTAATTTAATATTTTTAGTGAGTTCTCGTTTTTACCCCTGTTGTTACTATAACAACACTATGGGTGTTGTTATAGTATCCGGACCCTCAAATTAACTACACAACCCTAACCGGTTCAATAGCACGGTTATGTACCCACCCGGTCGATTCCTTCAATTTGGCTATTAGCAGCCGTAGCAGTAGCGACAGACAGGCCGCAGTCACAGGAGTCGTCGTTCGGGGAGAAAGCAAACTCGACGACGGTGGACTTCTAGGGTTCGCTGGAGAAGAGAGAGGGAGAGGCACAACTCCGCCGAGGAAAGAGAAGAGCCCAGTGGACGTCCACGGATCTGCACGCTTCCGCCACCGGAAATCCCCTCCTCCCTCCGACAGAGCTGGTAGATGAGGAGCATCCTTTGCTGTATAAGTTTTTTGATCATATGGATTTCCTGAAGCTAATGGAGAGAGATGTCGGGCAGGCATATTTTGAGGATGAACTCAATGCGCCCTTCTCAAGGCTTATTATGGTATTTTCCTATTGATCCATTATATTTTCATCACATTTATGGGGAATTAGTGCTTAATTACTTGGCCTTAACAGTGCATCGGGTACCTACCATTCAAGGTCTTTCCTTGGCGGAGCGGCGCCTCTCCCTCCATTTTCTCCAGCGAACCCTAGAATCCCACCGCCCTCGAGTTCGCTCTTATCCTCTAGCGACGACTCTGCGGCTGCGGCCGTGGCCTGTCTGCGTTTCTGCTACAATTGCTAATAGCTAAATCGGATGAATCGGGCGGGTGGATACATAACTGAGCTATAGAACCGGTTAGAGTTGGACGGGTTAATTCGAATGATTAAATTATTTTTTATTAATTTATTTGATGATGTGTCATGCTGAGTAAGTAAAAGTAACGGATTTTTGGACGGAATTGGACGGATTGACCTTTTTGTTATTTGTTCAAATTTATATTACTGAAACGTGCAATATTAAAGAATTGTGACCGTTTTGTACAAAGTGAATAGGTTTGTGATCATTTATGATAATTAGCCGTTAATCCGTGGATTGATATCGATCCACCGGCAAATAACCCGACCCGCACGAAGTGGGTGATTGATGTGGGTGGATTGCAGATTGATAAATCGCTCACCCGCACTTATGTGGATGGGTGGTGAGTGGATTGCAGCCTGCAGGTCACCCTTATGACCCTTATATATGAAAAAAATGTTGTTTTTTATACTATCTAATATTCATCATATTCGTCTGGTCTAGTAATTCGTGGAGCTGACGGGCATGTAGCTTTGGCAGTAGGGTTTCAGCACTCTAGCATTACTGATCCCTACCTAGCAGAGCTTCTTGCTGCCAGAGACGCCATTTCCCTGTTGGTCTCCAAGTCTCTACCTCGTGTCATCATCGAAGGAGACTCTGAAGTGGTGGTTCGTCAGCTTCGTCAGGGTGATTCTTCTGATTCCTTAGGAGGACCAGTGCTTCGGGATTGCTTCCTTCTCCTTGCTTCTGCTTCTGTCTCCTTAGAGTTTAGAGCAGTGCCTCGGACTGCTAACAGGGCTGCCCATAGAGTGGCGCAGAAAGCCCTGCTTCTTTCTCCTCTTGAGTTATGTTCTTTCGATTTTGTTGGGTGGCTTCATTGATGTAATAGGTTGGGAGGTGTTCGGGTAGTTTGTATAGTTCTCTCTTTTGACATTTCTTGGGAAAAAAAAAAAATCTTACCATATACTTAAAAAGGTGGCTAATAAATAATAGCTTTGACTATTATTATTGGTTATTGTGTTGTGCAATATCCATTACATATTGGATATTAGTATGCAAATTATTGTTAATATTCATTAAATATTATGATGCAAACTATAAATTATTAATTGTATCGAAATCACAAATTATTGATAAAATCTTACTAATTTGCTATGAACTTATTATAAATGTTAGTCAACTTTCTTAATGGTTGTTGGAGAATTGCTTTTGCGGGTTGACCCGCGACCCAACCGCACTCATCCGCCATCCACCCAACCCGCATAAGTATGTGAGTGGATTGCGGGTCACAATTATTCCAACTCGCTAGTAAGCGGGTGGGTCAATTTGAGACCAAAATCCACTCAGTCCGCCCATTGCCCACCCCTAGATTTATTAGTATTTAGGTGATAGAAACTAAAATAAACAAATAAGATCATTATTACTTAGTAAGTTTAGAGAATTTCATGCGACCAAATCACTACTAATAGATAAAAAAAATTACTACGAAAAAACACCTACATAGTACAACCACTACTAATACAAATCATATCACTACAGAAGAAACACTACTAATATGAATACTAGTGTCATCGCAAAACCCCGTGGCTTGTATGCATCTCATTCTTCTCTCTCGCCCCCCCCAACTCCGCAAACCCTAGAGGATTATGAACCCCCGCCCTTTCGATGAGCGATTCCACCAACGCCATCGTCGGTCTTGTCTCGAAACTTTCGATAGCGAACTTGAAAGACGACGCGCACATCCTGTTGGTCGATAACACTTCGAGGTAGGCTACGAGTTTCACATCCATAGGCGGCGATTGAAAACTTTGATCAAACAAGAATCAACACAACACGATATTTACGTGGTTTCCCCGTTCAATTAGAACAAGACTACTCCACGGAGAGCTAGGGCTCTCGAGTCAATCTTATTATGCTGCGTTACTTTTCTCCAGCTGCCTTATTGTTCCTTTTATATTATCTGAACCCTTCACATGAGTATCTAGGGTTCGACTACAGCTCATGGCAAACTACAATTAACTACACTAAGTATAAATATTAAGACAATTAACTCCCTGCACTACTCGGACCATGAACCCATCACGTAATGGTCCGCAACACTCCCCCTTAAGCGGAGGCATGAAGATTGTTGACTCGCACGAAACTACACCACAATTAAACCCCAATTAGGGCCCAAGTTTTTAAACTCTAATCGGGTGCAGTATAGGGCAAGTATTTATATATAGACCCGGGCCGGTCCGTCTACCCCTACTTCGATTGTTGAAATCATTATCTAGCGATAAAACTTTGGTTTAAAGGTTTTCTAATTGAAATGAAAGAAAGCAAAGGTAATTTGGTTTGAAAACTCTTTTGTGGGAAAGTCACTTGGGTTTTGCTTTCGCCTAACCGCTACCATGCTACGTGGATTGGAACGATTGCCTTGGGCACATTAATCGTGAACCGCAGAGGAAAGCGTATGTGGTCGGAGACGATAGTCTCAATTGCTAAACTGAGGTGAGGATGAAAGGGCGTGTCACTCAACCCTCTCGGTTTAGACAATCGGTAATCGACTTACTCCCTCACTCAACTCTAAGGTCGGACGGTTTAACCACGATTAATCAACTTTTTTAATTCAATATTGAGGGTTGCCCTAACTCAACCTAGTTTAGGTGGCTTAGAAAGCGGAAGGAAAACCAACTCGATTGAGTCTCCCTTGAAAGGGGGATTTCCTCTCTAAACTAGGATAAGGTGGCAAATTAGATTACTAGCACCTAAATGCACAAACTTAGGGGTGCTAAGCACAATTATGCACAATCACTAGGATGCTCAGCAAAAAACATGCACAACCCCTAAGTTGCTAAGCACAAGCATGCACAATCATGGTGAATAATGCCTCAAACATTGAATTGAACAATACCCAATATCAATTATCCAAACCACATACAAGAAAACTACATGTTAGAGTTAGGGTTGCACTACACCCAAGTTAAAGGAGGACTACTCCATGGTAGAAGTGGGAAGAACAAAAGGGGAAAAGGTGGAAGCCATCTTTTGGGTATGCCTCCTCTCTTCTTGACCCTTGAGCTGAGATCTCCTTGGGGAAATCTTCCCAAAATCTGCCTTGAAGCCAAACCCTAACCTTCTTCTTTCCTTTGCTTCTGTTTCTCTCACTAGAATGCTGAAGAAGGTGTTTCTCTCACAAAAGTGGGCTCTCCCCTCTCTCCTCCTTGCAGCTCAGCTTTCAAACCCGAGAAGAGCTGAGTTCACGGCCGTGAATCATCAAACGCGTCTGTGAACTCAAGCCGTGTGCCAAAATGCTTCGCATCGCTCACGTCAGTTCACGGACAACTACTTGTGTTCACGGTCTTAGTGACCGTGAACTCACCTTGCGTCAGTAACCTTTAAATTGGCTCTGGACGCCTTGCACTTCACGGTCAACTACCCATCTTCACGGTCTTGCATGACCATGAAATCCTTCCTTTAGCCGTGAACTGGCGCTTTTTTTTACCTCTTCTCCCGGTTTTCGATCCTTTTCGCCAATCTTTCGACTCCGAGGCTGGTTTCACCTGTTAAATCCGGAAACACACTCAAACACGAAGCACCTACCATAAAACCAACCTTTAAGGAGCGAATTTGGCACAATCAGCTAAGCAAAACGTGGGCAAAACATGTGCAATTAGGCCCGAATCACTCCCCAACATTTAGACGTTTGCTTGTCCCCAAGCAAACCATTTCACGCACACGGTAATATTTCAACCTACACAAATGCTTTGGGGACAACTCAAAGGACTCGAAGCGGGAATTCTCGATGCTTATTGACAATCACACATGAATCTTTGCAAGCAATACCAACATCCACTACAAACGACATTCAAACCAACCAAAACTTGCAAATGAAAAGTTCTCAACTTATTCATAGATAAATTCAAGTCTCAACAAAACCACTTATCGACCACAACCAACCATGCATGGAATTCAAGTCCGAGGAACAAATGGAAAGGCAACAAAGGTCCTCACCGGGGTATGATATGGCATGCAAAGCAAGAATGAATCGCTCACTCTCAAGACCAGTGGGGTCAGGACCTTTTTGGTGCAAATGATGTGCGCAATCATAACCTCTCTGCCCTATTTTCTCAATACCATGGCGGTAACCTTTAAATGCTAGAGTTAACGGGATGGTTGTCGCCACTAGCTCGTCCGGAGGTCTTAGACACGGGTTCAGATGACTGGCGATTGGCTTGGACATGGGGAAAAG